AATAGACTTTGCCATATGTGAAGGCATTGTGGACTTTTACTTCCATAGAGAGTTTCTTGACTTTTTCATAATTCCAGTTATTGTGGACTGTGACTATTTAAGATAAGATTTTCGACTTTGCCATTTGCCAGTGCAGTAGGGACTTTTTGGGGGAGTTTCTAAAGACAAAGTATTAGTTAAGAACATAAGAATGAATGTAACCGCAGAAGGTCTATCGGCCCACGAGGCAGCTCCTATTTATAACCACCCAATCTTAATTATATATATGTATATCCTACGCTTGAAACAATCAAGGGTTCCCACTTCTATTACGTTACGCGGTAATTGGTTCCACATATCATCAACCTTGTTACCGAACTAGTATTTACCCAGGTCTTTCCTAAATCTAAACTTATCCAATTTATACCCATTGATTCGGCTATGAACTACACGAATAAACTTGCTTATCTCCTATCATATATGATAACCTGTACTGTTCAATTCAGTCTCCACTACTGAATAGAGATAGTTGTTAACAATGTTAACAAGTTAGCAATTTAACAAGTTAACAGCATAAATTAACTTTATGACTTATGCTATTGATGTCCATGCTGAGACATTATACCTCACTGTGGTTATGTAGCGTCACTACCCTGGAAACACAAACCGAAACTGTCTCTATTTTCCGCTTGTTACAACATGTAATAGAGTTGTTACATCTTGGCTTAACGTGTTTATGACGTATTAGAACGTTGTTACAACTTGTTATATTGGTTGTTATAACTGGTTAGGAGGTGTTAAAACTTGTTCGAACGTTGTACCAACGTCGTAGTTTCGGTGTGTGTTGTGCGGGTACCCGTCGTGTTTACAACCTATCAGCCAGTCTTGAGTGGACTTGTCTGCCTATGTTATTAGGTTATCTGTGCTTAGTGACATCTGCTATGAGTTGTGCTTGTGTTAAATTATTTAATTGTTAATTGATTGTGAGTATGCAGTATAATGGAGCCGGTGGCTGAGCGGGCAGAACACTGGACGCGTGATCCTGTGGTTCCGGGTTCGATCCCGGGCGCGGGCGAGAAACAATACGCAGAGTTTCTTTCACCCTGATGCCTCTGTTACCTAGCAATAAATAGGTACCTGGGAGTTCGTCAGCTGTCACGGGCTGCTTCCTGGGGGTGGCGGCCTAGTCGAAGACCGGGCCGCGGGGACACTAAAGCCCCGAAATTATCTAAAGATAACCTCAAGAAGAAGATGCATAGAGAGATTTCTATGCATCTTCTAGAGCATAGTAAGGGCCAGGAAGCAGGCCCTAACAGCTGTTTAACTCCCAGGCAGTTATTTACTGCTAGGTAACAGGGGCATCAGGGTGAAAGAAACTGCCCATTTTGTTTCTGCCATCACCGGGATCGAACCCGGACAATAGTATTACGAGACCAGAGCACTGTGCACTCAGCTACCAGACCCCTGTGTGTGTGTGTGTGTGTGTGTGTGTGTGTGTGTGTGTGTGTGTGTGTGTGTGTGTGTGTGTGTGTGTGTGTGTGTGTGCGTGCGCGTGTGTGTGTGTGTGTGTGTGTACTCACCTAGTTGTGATTGCGAGGGTTGAGCTCTGGCTCTTCGGTCCTGTCTCACAACTGTCAATCAACTGATGTACAAGTTCCTGAGCCTATTGGGCTATATCATATCTACACTTGAAACTGTGGATGGAGTCTGCCTCCACCACTTCACTTCCAATAGTTAGGTGGTATGTGTGTGTGTGTGTGTGTGTGTGTGTGTGTGTGTGTGTGTGTGTGTGTGTGTGTGTGTGTGTGTGTGTGTGCGCGCATGTGCTGTATAAAGAACACACAAGGGCTATAATTGCTCCTGTGTTTAACTTACAAAAATTGAACAGCTAATAAAATAAATAACAGATCACTTCAATGCGTTAAATACAAATCGTTCTGAGTAAAAGACTCAAGTCTAAAACGTTACTGCCGAATTCCCGTGAAAACCTTAAAATTTACCAGAAGGATTTCCAGACACTTCAACACAATTTCCTGGACACTGCAGCTACCGAAATTGTCTTGACAGATTTTCATTAAAATTAGTAAGACAAATACTGTCAGTGTTCGAGCCCCAGACAGGGAACGACGCCTGGCCACCCGTCTTTAACTGGTCGGTCTTGTTCACTGAGAAACAGCTGGCAACCTGGTTGTAAAACGACTTGGCAGGTTGTGGTCCAGGGAAATTCAGTAATATAATAGTTGAAAGTGTTGTGTGATAGAGACCTGCTAACAAGAGTCAGAAGTCTGTTCCTGTACCCACCAGTACCCACATGTACCCTCCAGTACCCACCAGTACCCACCTGTACCAACCAGTACCCACATGTACCCTCCATTACCTACATGTACCAACTTGTGCCCACCATTTCCAACCAGTACCCACATGTACCCTCCAGTACCCACCTGTACCCACCTGTAACCACATGTACCCACCAGTACCCACATGTACCCTCCAGTACCCACCTGTGCCCACCTGTAACCACATGTACCCACCAGTACCCACATGTACCCTCCAGTACCCACCAGTACCCACCTGTACCAACCAGTACCCACCTGTACCCTCCAGTACCTACATGTACCAACTTGTGCCCATCATTTCCAACCAGTACCCACATGCACCCTCCAGTACCCACCTGTACCCACCAGTACCCACCTGTACCCACCTGTAACCACATGTACCCACCAGTACCCACCTGTACCCACCTGTAACCACATGTACCCACCAGTACCCACACGTACCCACCAGTACCCACATGTACCCACCAGTACCCACCTGTACCCACCTGTAACCACATGTACCCACCAGTACCCACCAGTACCCACCTGTACCCACCTGTACCCACCAGTACCCAACAGTACCTACCCACCAGTACCCACCAGTACCCACCAGTACCCACCTGTACCCACCAGTACCCACCAGTACCCACCTGTACCCACCAGTACCCACCTGTACCCACCAATACCACACCAGTACCCACCAGTACCCACATGTATCCACCTGTACCTATCTATACCAACCAGTACCTATCAGTACCCACCTATACCCACCTGTACCCACCAGTACCCACCTGTACCCACCAGTACCCACCTGTACCCACCAATACCACACCAGTACCCACCAGTACCCACATGTATCCACTTGTACCTATCTATACCAACCAGTACCTATCAGTACCCACCTATACCCACCTGTACCCACCAGTACCCACTTGTACCCACCTGTACCCACCAGTACCCACCAGTACCTACCTATACCAACCAGTATCTATCAGTACCCACCTATACCCACCTGTACCCACTAGTACCAACCAGTACCCACCAGTACCCACCAGTACCAACCAGTACCCACCTCAAGGAGCAACACTTCCAGCCTCATCTGGTCGTGACAATCCTCGGCTAAACAGACGACCGCGGAGGGAGGGAGTCACGTGAATCTTGACGTAAACGACGTAATACAGAGCAGAAAGTTGAATGCATCTTCCAAACGTAGAGAGATATATTCATGTCAGACAATAACAGTAGTATTAGAACATGCATTCCCTCGTGTGATTGATTCATGGGCCTCTTCGAACGCTGAAAACTTCTTTACGTTCTTAGAGAGTACTAAAACTCTTTATGGTTCGACTCTAAGGTTCAACTCTCAAGTTCGACTCTAAGGTTGCACTCTAAGGTTCGACTCTAAGGTTCGACTCTAAGGTTCGACTCTAAGGTTGGACTCTAAGGTTGGACTCTAAGGTTCGACTCTAAGGTTCGACTCTAAGGTTCGACTCTAAGGTTCGACTCTAAGGTTCGACTCTAAGGTTCGACTCTAACGTTCGACTCTAACGTTCGACTCTAACGTTCGACTCTAACGTTCGACTCTAACGTTCGACTCTAACGTTCGACTCTAACGTTCGACTCTAACGTTCGACTCTAACGTTCGACTCTAACGTTCGACTCTAACGTTCGACTCTAACGTTCGACTCTAACGTTCGACTCTAACGTTCGACTCTAACGTTCGACTCTAACGTTCGACTCTAACGTTCGACTCTAACGTTCGACTCTAACGTTCGACTCTAACGTTCGACTCTAACGTTCGACTCTAACGTTCGACTCTAACGTTCGACTCTAACGTTCGACTCTAACGTTCGACTCTAACGTTCGACTCTAACGTTCGACTCTAACGTTCGACTCTAACGTTCGACTCTAACGTTCGACTCTAAGGTTTCACTCTAAGGTTCGACTCTTAAGGTTCAACTCTAAGGTTCGACTCTTAAGTACAATTAGGTCCGTTCTCGAGGCACAATCGACAATTCCGGGTTCGAAGCCCGGGCGGGACAACAATGGTTGGGCGCATATCCTTTCACCTAATGCCTCTATACACCTAGCAGTGAGTAGGTACTCAGGAGTTAATCAGTTTGTTGTCGGGTTGCATATATGGGCGGGGTCAGTAATTCGGCCTTTAAGGGGGGGGGGGGAAGGGGGAACTGGACATAAGCCTAACCTGTATGAATACACTCTGCCCCCCCCCCCCCCCGACACAATCATCGGGATCAAAGAGCCACAGCTCAACCCCTCGCAAGCACAACTAGGTGAGTACAATGAATTATAATTATTAGCCTCAACAACTACACTTGAGTTTAAACATGGTTATCTTGAGGTTATCTTGAGATGATTTCGGGGCTTTAGTGTCCCCGCGGCCCGGTCCTCGACCAGGCCTCCACCCCCAGGAAGCAGCCCGTGACAGCTGACTAACACCCAGGTACCTAACTTACTGCTAGGTAACAGGGGCATTGGGTGAAAGAAACTCTACCCATTGTTTCTCGCCGGCGCCCGGGATGGAACCCGGGACCACAGGATCACAAGTCCAGTGTGCTGTCCGCTCGGCCGACCGGCTCCCGCCTTTCTCTGCATTGTTGTTGTTTTAACTTTAGCTATTCAGAACGAAGTGCCCATGTAGCACGGGCTATGGTGAGCCCGTAATTCCCCTGCGTCAGTACTCACTTGAAATAGTAGGAGCGGTTGGCGTAGCCGAAGAAAGGTACGGTGTAGGTCATCATCCAGATGTTGCCGCCACCACAGTCGAAGTACGGCTTGCTCCAGCGGCCGTCCTCGTAGGTCACCGACAGGATCTCCTCCTCCTCCCTCTCGGTGTGGGCGGTGCTGTTGTGGGTGTAGGTGTGGTACCCTGCGGGGGAGGGAGACCACAGGTTGGTATTGCAGTGTGTCTATTGAGGGAGGGGGAAGGGGGCGTCTATTGATGGATGGGAAGGGGTCAGAATATAGATTTGGGATGGGACGGGGGAAGGAATGGTGCCCAACCACTTGGTTGGTCGGTGATTGAACGCCGACCTGCAGGATCCCTCGCTCTACGGTCCTGCTCAAGTGGTTGGGCGTCTATTTAGCGAGAAGAGAAAGAGAGGGGAAAAGAGACGAAAGAGCAATAGAATGAGAAGAATTAGAGAGAGGAAAGGGAGTGAAAGCGTGATAGAATGAGAGAAGAGAGAGAGAGAGAGAGAGAGAGAGAGAGAGAGAGAGAGAGAGAGAGAGAGAGAGAGAGAGAGAGAGAGAGAGAGAGAGAGAGAGAGAGAGAGGAAAAAGAGACCAACGCGGGCCAACCCGCGTACAAGAGTGTTCTCCCAGAGACACAAGGGAGAGCCTCCAGCTAAGGGCAGAGTGCGAGACCTGGATGTTTTAGGGTGTTTCAGGTGAAAGAGGGTGAGAGGAAAGTAAGAATATGAGAGAAAGTTAAGAAAATTAAAGGAAAGTGAGATAGGAATAGTTACAATACACCCCTCTTAAGCTGTCTACCCAGCGTAGAACTGCATAACTTTTGGCACTTCTAAAATAATGCAAAGGGGAGATGCTAGAAGGTGCACAACATTTGAGAGGAAAATGCGAGTTTGAGAGATAAAATGTGATGGATAGAGAAAGGTATAATGAAATTAAACAAAAATGAAGAAAGAGCAGCGGCAGCAGTAGCAGTAGCAGCAGCAGCAGCAGCTGTAGCAGCAACAGCAGCAGCTGTAGTAGCAACAGCAGCAGCTGTAGCAGCAACAGCAGCAGCTGTAGCAGCAACAGCAGCAGCTGTATCAGCAACAGCAGCAGCTGTAGCAGCAACAGCAGCAGCTGTAGCAGCAACAGCAGCAGCTGTAGTAGCAGCAGCAGCTGTAGCAGCAACAGCAGCAGCTGTAGCAGCAGCAGCAGCTGTAGCAGCAACAGCAGCAGCTGTAGAACAGCAGCAGGAACAATACAATCAATAACTGCAACACAACCAGCATAATCAACCAAAAGAAAGGAAATTACTCTACACTTTGAATTTGAGTTAAGGAAAGTTATTAATTAATGGGATCCAAGAAAAATCAAATAGAATATAAATGGCACAAAGTTGTAGTTACGAATTAGACATTTCAGTTTTCAAAGAAAATAATTATTTCTCGTTGTTGTTTTTATATTAGACTACCAAATATCCTACACAATTTATCCTCTAGCGCAAAATTGAAAGCTTATTTGACAACTCAAATTTATATTAATTTTTAACGTTAAAATTAAAAAGGTGCCTGATTTCTCTGACACCACCACACCATCTCTTTCACACCAACATTATACCTGCATCACAACACCACAACACCTCTACCACACCACCATATAACATGATAGCAATACATATTAATACCTTAATTGCCTATATATATATTGATACGACGATATCAGCATATATATAGGCAAGTAGGCAACGCCTTTTATAAGGTGCTTGACAATGCACAAAGAAAAAAGGCTGAACCAAAGATCACATTATTTCTATACACAACCTTATCATCACCATAAAAAATAACCGAATGACGCTGCGAAAGTTGGAGATTAGAAATAGATTAAGCACATCAGATCTAGGCACATAAGCACATAAGAATAAATGTTACACTAGAAGGCCTATTGGCCCATACGAAGCCGCTCCTAGTAGCAGTAGCATCTAACTCTCGCATTCAATTACCTACTGCTAGCGAGTATCTTGGGAACTCCTACCTTCTACGAGATCAATAGAGAGAACTACCAGTTTACAGCATACTTGCTGCTCCAGCCCACCATTGATAATACAGAGTAAACCTGGGTCCCCTTAACATGGTAATTATTATTCTCATGAGTCAGATATTTAACTTCCAATTAACCTGTACTCAATATTATATTAACCATGAGCGAGTTTAAGTAAAAATTATCATGGGAGTGTTGTTTAGGAATAGGGAGTGTTGTCTAGGAATATGCATGCCGTAAATTTAACAGGCAATCCATTAAAATGCATTGAGACAATTTAGTTAATATAATGCAAATATTGAATACATAATCAATAGGATAAAGCTTATTTAACCAGTTTGCCATTTCTAAGTCACATTAGTTCTGCATGCACCAATAACAACCTTTAACACTCATTAGGCAATCAAGATAATACATACGAACATATGTAGAATTAATATAAATGGAAAATAATATTTCCGTAACGAATAAATTTTATAATGAATACTACTAATTACAAGTGACACCTTAGTGGTTAGTAGGTGGGGTTCCCGGTGATACCCGGGGCTACCTGGTGCCCCTTACCGTTTGTCTTCACAAACCTTCATCGTCACCCCTTCACTGGAAATATCTTCAATGCTCACTACCGTCCTCTTCACTCCCTCCTGTCACCACCAACACACACACACACACACACACACACACACACACACACACACACACACACACACACACACACACACACACACAGGAGGTCCCCAGCCCTCTTCCTCGACCCATACCCTGACTTCCACCTCCCCCTGGCACTGAAATCTCTGGGAATAGGGTGTCCAAGAAAAGCCTGAAGATTTGGTACACGACCGCTGACGAAGTTACATTCAAAGCAAAGGAAAATAAAGAAAAATTAAGTGTAAATGACCCCAGATTTAATTGCAGAAGTGGAAACGAAAATGAATGATATGATATCTGATGCAATATTCCCCTGGGGGAGACGCCAAGTGATAAGGAAAGAATGACAACAAAAGCAAGGAGGAGGAGGAGGAGGAGGATTCGCACTCCTAGTAAAACGGGAGTGAAAGTTCGACGAACTCAAGAATCAGAGTGAAAACGTACATACAGACTCCATCCTTGGAACCCTGACAGCAGAAGGAAAAAGAGTTGTGGTCTTGGTAATTTATAACCTCCCCCCCCCCCACCAAACAACAGAAGACCCAGGCAGGAATATGATGACAACAACAAAGCATGCATAGAGACATTGCAGAGAGCAGCAACAGTAGCACACAGAATGAGAGCTAAACTTCTAGTCATGGGGGACCTAAATCATGGAGAGATTGACTTGGTGTCCAGAAATCCTCCTGGTTGGGAATAAACGTAGGGAAGGATATTAGTGGAAATTGTTGAAAGAAACTTTTTAACACAACATGTAAAGGAAGACACAAGAGAAAGGAGATACACCAAGCCTACTGAACTTGATCTTTACCCAGAATGAGAAAGACAGTGAGAGCTTAGAGCATGAAATACCACAAGGAGCAAGTGACCATTGTGTCCTAGTGTTTGACTACATGATAGACCTCAGAACAGTGCCCATAAGACAAGGAGTCAGGGAAGGGAGAATAAGCTATAAAAAGAAGACTACATGAAAGGAAGATAATATCCGGGAAGTGTGCAATGGGAATAGGAACTTAGAGAGAAGAAGGTCCAGGAAATGATGAACCAAGTTAATCTGAAGTATAAAGAGGGAGAAGAAAGATTCCTACCACCATTAAGGGAAAAAATTAGGAGTACATATAATAACCCGTGGTTCAATAGACAGTGAAGCAAAAGCAAAAAGTAGGAGGAAGTGGAGGAAATGCAGAAGGCCATAGACAGAAGCAAACCGGATTAGATGCAACAGCACCAGGAATGACTACATAAACATAAGAGGATTGGCAGAAAGAAACTATGAAAATGATATTGCTTCCAAAGCAAACAGCCAACCGAAACTCCTGCATAGTCATATAAAAAGGAAAATGACAGTGAATGATCAAGTAACTAGGTTACGAAAAAGAGGGAGGCCAGTATACAGAAAATAATAAAATTTGTGAGGAGCTCAATACCAGCTTCCACGGAAGGTTCACTACTGAGACTGGACTGCTCCCAGAGCTAGATGAGGAAGAAGCTTCCTGACAAGAAACAACTAGATACAGAGGTAACAGCTTAGGAAGTAAAACTACAGCTAGCTTCACTGGAGTAACTAACGCTACTGGGCCAGATGCAGTATCACCATGGATGTTAAAAGAAGCAGCACAAGCCCTTAGCATACCTCTTACATAAATCTTTAATGAGTCACTTACACAGGGGAAATTGCCCAGCTGCTGGAAGAAGGCCAATGTGGTGCCTATCTACAAGAAAGGAGATAGAAAAGAGGCACTTAACTGCAGACCAGCGTCGCTCACAAGCATCCCGTGCCAAGTATTTGAGAGATTGTTAAAGTTAAGACTAGTTGCACACCTAGAAGGAATTAGGTTTGTAAGTAAACAACAACACGGCTTTAAAGAAGGGAAATCATGCCTGACGAACCTCCTGGAGTTTTATGATAAGGTAACGAAAATAAGGCAAGACAGAGAAGGATGGCCAGATTGCATATTTCTGGACTGTAAAAAACCTTTTGATACAGTACCACATAGAAGGTTACTATACAAACTTGAAAGGCAGACGGGAGTGGATGGAAACGCACCATCATGGGTAAGGAATTACCTAACAGACAGGTGTCAGCGAGTGACAGTGAGGGGTGAGGATTCCGACTGGCGTAGAGTAAAAAACGGGGTACCGCAAGGACCGGTGCTGGGACCCATACTATTCCTCATCTATGTAAATAACTTGACTGCAGGAGTTGAGTCTTTTATGTCGATGTTTTTATATGATGCAAAACTAATGAGGAGGGTTGAGACAGATGAGGATTGCAAGATTCTCCAGGATGACTTGAACAGGTTGCAAAGATGGTCCGAGAAATGCCTGTTAGAGTTCAACACTAACAAGTGCAAGTGATGGAAATGGGAACAGGCGCCAGGAGACCGAAAGGTCAATATACGATGAAGAGAAACTACCTCCCCATCACGACAAGAGAAAAAGACCTGGCAGTGGACATAACACCAAACCTAACTCCAGAGTCTCATGTAAATAGAATAACGTCAGC